ACACAGACTTCCCTTTACACAGGTTTAGTCCAAGCTTTCAGGAAATCGCTAACTTCTCAGCCAGCACACGCCCTCCCCCTTCGTATCTCCTTCCCCACTTGAGAGGAAGGAGCTATTTCTGCCCCCATTATCACGTCTCTCTGCAGCCAAGTGAGGGGATGGTGCCAGGTGCCAGGAAAACTAGTGGAAGCTCCTGCAGGCCTAGTGATGGGGCTTGCAGACTGCCTTCGGCAACTTCCCTGGATGGATGCTTTACCCTGGGCTGACCCCGCTGCTGGCTCTCAACTGGATCCCACTCTTTCCCACCATTTGACCTCTGAGGTCAGTCCGAGTGTTTTCAGTCTGCCTGCTGGCTTTGCTATTCAACCTGATTTAGATTGATTTGGCAAGTTGTCCCTCATGAGCATAACTGCCCTCTCCAAACCCAAAGTGGATCGTGTAGGTGTGCAGTCTCTGCTTGGATAAACAACACAGCTGTGCACTCAGTTCATGGTGAAGATGGAAGGCGGCGAATAACTGTTTTCCAGCTAAGGTTTATGTTATAAACCTCATCCGGGGTAACGTTCTTATACGGAACTTGTTCAGGGTGTGAGAAGCCAACTGTTGCACCAAAACAAACACGTGTCCAGGCTCCTTGCTACCTACTGAGGTGAGGGACTGCCCAGCTCAGAGGTGTCCGCATCTCCTTGTGACATGAATGCCAACTACGGCACCAACCCAGTGAGAACTCTGAGCATCACACCCCTTCCATTCCTCACCACTGTGGACCCCAAGGTGTCGAGGACTTGAGGGTATGACTGAAAGTGCCTGCCTTCCAAGGAGTGACCAAGAAGAGGTGTTTTCTCCATCTGTTCTTGGTGCTCACATCTCCTAGATGCATGAGTCAGAGGAAGGAAGTCCGAGCAGACACTGAAGGAACTGAAGGACCTAATCCCAGATGACGGGTGTGTGGAGGGGAAGGTCCTGCCCACTGGGCAGTGGGGAGACGAGCATCTCCTCCTCGCACTGTGATAGGACAACTGACACGCCCTGGGGGGCCGGCTCACCCACTCCAGCTGCCCTGCTGGAGAGAGTGGGGGTTGGGGAGACAGGGCCTTGGGGTACCTGCACCCACTGGGTTCCACACCAGTCTGCAAGGCTTGAGGGCCAGTCAATATTTACCTTTGTTTTACCTCACACTGGAGTTACTCTTTAGCCTGTTTGATAAAAGCAAGTGCCATGATCCAATACTGGATGCCCTGGGTCTTCTGCTTTTCATCCCTGTTCATGGTTTCGGCCATTTCCTGTGAATCGGCCAGAAATGAAAGCTGCTAAGTGCAGGTTACCTCTGTCATTTAGCGACACTACTCCTGGAAACAGGAAGTGTGAAAGTGTTAGTCGCTCAGCCATGCCCGACTCTTTGCGACCCCACGGACCTTAGCCCACCAGACTCCTCTGTCCATGCAGTTTCCCAGGCAAGGATACTGCAGCAGGTTGCCATTTGTTTTTCCAGATCTTTCCAACCCAGGGTACGAACCCAGGTCTCCTGCACTGCAGGCAGGCTCTTTACCATCTGGGTCACCAGAGATTCAACAATAAACAGTTTTGAACATATATCACAGGGCAGACACTGAGCCACAGGCAGTATAAGCTCTCACTTAACCCTTGCGCCCCGGTGGGGAGGTGGCATTCTCATTTTGGGGCCTCAGGTGAGTGCAGGATTCTGAAGGTGTCCCCATCACCCCGTCAGTGTGGCCTCATCCTCTGGTCCTCAGGGTAGGTTGTGGGGGCTGTGAGGTCTACAGAACAGACTCACTGCGGTCTCTCAGGAAAGCTGGAAACTTCTCTTCAAGCCCTTCATGGCCAGGAGAGCACAACCACCCTTACTTGTTTCTGGGTTGAAAACTTTGACTACTGCAACTGTTTCCAGATCTGGCTGACCATTAGATGGAACTGTGGAACTTCATTAAAATATGAAGCAACAGCCCCATTGTAAGGGGTCTGCCTCAGTTCTCAGGTAGCCCCCAGCAGTCTGCACCTGGCATGTCATCCCCACCCGCAATGATTCTGAGACTATGGAGTCCCACCCCAAGGTCACAGGTGTGAGGACTTGAACCAATGCCACAGACACGGAGCCCAGAACCAAGGTCACCTCTGAAACCGACTGAGCCCCTTTGTAACCATTGCCAAAAGCCCCTTGATCATCACCAGCAAGGTTCCTGACCCCAAATCAGGCAAAAATGCCCCTCCTGGTACTCACCCTATAGTGCCCTAACCAACGCCACCCTACAATAGGAATTTGTCTTGAAGCTATAAGAACTGGCTGCTAGCCCACAAAAGGCGTCAGCTCTCCCTTGAGCTGGCCCGCTGCTCTGACACGCCCCATGACCCTCCCTGGTCAGGAGGTTGATCCCCTGCGTTTGCAGCACCTTCACTGTTCCTGCTCTCTGTCCTTAATAAACTCACTCCCTTCTGAAATGCTCTGTGTCTGGACTTCTCCAGCCTGCACTCAGACTGCTACAATGACTAGGTGGGTTTGAGAATCCAGGGCTCGAGAGGCCATGGGGCTGGGGATGGCTCACCTCTCTGTGCCTTTGTTTCTGTGTCTGCAGAATGGGGACAGAAACAGCCGTTACATTGTCTGAGATGTTCAAAGCGCTTTTCGGCGCACACTTGTTGTTCTTCAGTCCCTAAGCCGTGTCTGACTCTGCGAGACTTCCTGGATGACAGCACGCCAGGCTACTTTGTCCTCCACTATTTCCCAGAACTTTCTCAAACGTGGTGATGCCATCCAACCATCTCATCCTCCGCTTCCTCCTTCTCCTTTCATCTTCAATCTTTCTCAACATCAGGGTCTTTTCCAATGAGTTGGCTCTTCCCATCAGGTGGCCAAAGTATTGGAGCTTCAGTGTCAGCATCAGTCCTTCCAATGAATATTCAGGGTTGATTTCCTTTAGGATTGACTGTTTTGATCTCCCTGCAGTCCAAGAGACTCTCAAGTCTTCTCCAACACCACAATTCAAAAGTATCAGTTCTTTGGTGCTCAGCCTTCTTTATGGTCCAACTCTCACAACTGCACATGACTACTTGAGAAACCATAGCTTTGATTATACAGACTTTTGTTGGCTAGATGATGTCTCTGCTTTTTAATATGCTGTCTAGGTTTATCATAGCTTTTCTTCCAAGGAGCAAGCATCTTTTAATTTCATGGCTGCAGTCACCTTTCACAGTGATTTTGGAGCCCAAGAAAATAAAGCCTATCACTGTTTCCATTGTTCCCCCATCTATTTGCCATGAAGTGATGGAACCAGATGCCATGATCCTGGTTTTTTGAATGTTGAATTTTAAGTCAGCTTTTTCACTCTCCTCTTTCACCCTCATCAAGAGGCTCTTTAGTTCCTGTTTACTTCCTGCCATTAGAGTGGTATCATCTGCATATCTGAGATTGGTATTTCCCCTGGAAACTTTGATTCCGGCTCGTGATTCACTCAGCCCAGCATTTCACATGATATACTCTGCATATAAATTAAATAAGCAGGGTGACAACATACAGCCTTGTCATACTCCTTTCCCAATTTTGAACCAGTCTGTCATTCCATGTCCAGTTCTAACTGTTGCTTCTTGACCTGCATACAGGTTTTTCAGAAGGCAGCTAAGGTAGTCTGGGAGAAGCACAAGCTGGAATCAAGATTGCCGGGAGAAATATCAATAAACTCATATATGCAGATGACACCACCCTTATGGCAGAAAGTGAAGAGGAACTAAAGAGCCTCTTGATGAAAGTGAAAGAGGAGAGTGACAAAGTTGGCTTAAAGCTCAACATTCAGAAAACTAAGATCATGGCATCTGGTCCCATCACCTCATGGGAAATAGATGGGGAGACAGTGGAAACAATGTCAGACTATTTTTTGGGCTCCAAAATCACTGCAGATGGTGACTGCAGCCATGAAATTAAAAGATGCTTACTCCTTGGAAGTAAAGTTATGACCAACCTAGACAGCATATTAAAAAGCAGAGACATTACTTTGTCAACAAAGGTCCGTTTGGTCAAGGCTATGGTTTTTCCAGTGATCATGTATGGATGTGAGAGTTGGACTGTGAAGAAAGCTGAGCACCGAAAAATGGATGCTTTTGAACTGTGGTGTTGGAGAAGACTCTTGAGAGTCCCTTGGACGGCAAGGAGATCCAACCAGTCCATCCTGAAGGAGATAAGTCCTGGGTGTTCATTGCAAGGACTGATGCTGAAGCTGAAACTCCAATACTTTGGCCACCTCATGCGAAGAGTTGACTCATGCGAAAAGACCCTGATGCTGGGAGGGATTGGGGGCAGGAGGAAAAGGGGACGACAGAGGATAAGATGGCTGGATGGCATCATCGACTCAATGGGCATGAGTTTGAGTAAACTCCAGGAGTTTGTGATGGACAGGGAGGCCTGGCGTGCTGCGATTCATGGGGTCGCAGAGTTGGACATGACTGAGCGACTGAATTGAACTGAACTGAAGGTAGTCTGGTATTCCTATCTCTTGAAGAATTTTCCATGGTTTGTTGTGATCCGCACTATCAAAACCTTTAGCATAGTCAATGAAGCAGATTTGTTTTTTCAGAATTCCCTTGCTTTCTCCATGATCCAACAGATGTTGGCAATTTGATCTCTGGTTCCTCTGCCTTTTCTAAACCCAGTTTGTACACCTGGAAGTTCTCGGTCCACGCACTGCTGAAGCCTAGCTTGAAGGATTTTCAGCATAACCTTCCTAGCATGTGAAATGAGTGCAACTATACAGTAGTTTAAACATTCTTTGATATTGTCCTTCTTTGGGATTGGCATGAAAACTGACCTTGTGTGAACACACGTTATCACCTTAACCTTCTCAGAACTAAGATTCAAACACTTTAAAATTGTTGCTGATAGTGTGAGTGAAATGGTCCTTTATTAGGTGAATCTTCACGTAAGCATGCCACCCTTCTCTTCCATTGGTTGAGCAGTCTCTGTTCTTCTGTCTTTACGTGGGAGCACAGGAATTTTAAAACTGGAAAGTCCTTTCCTCAGTTTCCGCTGTTACCCGAGACTCACTGGTGGATGGTCCCCAGTGCTCTCTCTTCAGCTGGGACTCCAGGCACAGACTCCCCTCCGCAGAGAGGAACGCCCTGGAGCGGGGACTCGGGGTTCTCCTGTTCCCTGCCGTGCGTTCCTGAGAGTTCTGCAGAGGGCACCCTTCGCGGATATTCAGCTGGCGGAACTGCTTCCTTGGGAAGCCCCCCGCCCCTGCACTGGAGGGGGCTCTGTCGACACACATGCTTCTGTCTACTGGTCGGGAGTGGAAAAGTGAGGCTGGAGTGGAGGATAAAGCAAAGTGGAGGCAGCACTTCTGGGGGGACATGGACCTCTGGAGCCAGGGCAGCCCACAAGCTCAGGAGGCAGGCAGACCAAAGGCAGAGACCTCGTAGCCCAAGATGGAGGGAAGAAGGGTCCGATCCCCCGAGGGCTATTCTTGCTTCCTCTGAACCAACTTGAGTGGATTTCTCCTTTTTACAACCCAAGAGCACAGGGTAGGGTGGGGTCTGGTGAGGGCTGGGGGACCAAGGAGTCTTTCCAGGTGCAGACAGGATGTGCAGAGGCAGGCGGGCCCACAGCGGCGGGGCAGTGAAGCCGCGAAGCCAGGTAGCGAGTGGTCTTTTCCTGGAACACACACGCCTGGCTAGAGCCGTGCCATCTGTTCACACTAGGACTATGATGTGCACAACTCAGTGTGTGTATTGCAGCTGGTCTGTGCCATGGGCAGAAGCTCTGAGTGAGAACGGTAAACCCCTCTCCAGTCTCACGACAGGTGGGACTGAGATGCCAGCTCGGCCAGGCCCATGGTTTAGAAACACGGAATCTTACAGCCAGAAAGGACGCTGGAGATCAACTTGACCAACTTCTCACCAAGTACAGACATCCACTTCCACTGACCAGTCTCCATGCAGTCTCCCCTAAACCACAAGTTTCTCCATCCCAGAATACTAGTGATGACCACCTGAAAACACCTGGCAAGAGTAAGTAAACAGATGTGATGGAGAACGTGAACTCCGGTTCTGACTTCCTGGCCTCTCTCCGAGTTCATTTCTCACACACATGATACCTGAATCTTGACTGACACACTCAACTTTTCTCATGAGGAAATCATGAAACTAGTTGGGCCCAACAGAAAAGTGTTTTTCAAAAAACATTTACTTAAGATGATGCTGTTGTTCTTTCCGGTCCTTTTTCCCAGTTGATTACTGGGTTTCTGCCTATAACAGCATTTGACTCGATACATCCACACACAGAGGTGTTCCCATTTCAATGTACCAGGCTTGCAGGCAAAGGTCTGTGGGCTCTGGACAAATCTGCGTGTAGGTGGTTAACAGGATGCAATCTTGGAGTTGGCTGACATGCTGATGAGGTTTCACTTGGCAGTGCTGAGGGTGACTTAAGTTTTATTTTCTAAAAAGATACACAGCTTGGTAAGTAATAAGGGCTCACAACCTCCAGAAGCTGCATCTGAACACGTCCATTTGCCTGTGTTCATGGGAAGCCTGGCTGACCCAGCATGGGAGGGGTCCCTTGATCTCCTCTCAGACCCTGGGCTCAATGCAGGGATCAGGCTCCTCACCCCAAGGTGTGAGGCACAAGAAAGTGGACATTGTGGGGCTGACATTAGCTGGAGCTTCAGCTCAAGCTGCCTTGAACCCTAGCCTCAGCTTTTCCACAGTCCCATGGAGACACAGTAGAGAATGCACCTTGGTTCGCTCTGCTTTCCAAACAGCAGATCTCTTACCTCCCTTACTAACAGTAGGAAGTAATCATTCAAAGTTGCTTTCTCATACACTCAGCAAATTAAAGAAGTGATAGGTTTCTCTTTGTTCAGCGACACTCATCTTCCCAATGTACTGTGGGCGTATGGGCTTCCCTGGTGGCTCACTGGTAAAGAATCTGCCTGCCAATGCAGGAGACGTAGGTTTGATCCCTGGGTCAGGTCAATCCCCTGGAGTAGAAAATGGCAAACCGCCCTAATATTCTCGCCTGGGAAACCCCGTGGACAGAGAGGCCTGGTGGGCTACAGTCCATGGGGGTCATAGAGCGCCAGACACGACTGAGCAAGCACACGCATGCATAAGTGCCTTTGTGGATCCTCTCTCAGTGGACTTAATTCAAGGCCTTCATCGGTGCACATAATAGGCACTTTCTTCCCTTTTGGGGATGGAACTGACCTCTGTTAACCCTAAGAGAATTGGTGAAGGCAACAGGGCAGGCCTCTCCCCAACACTCTAAATGGTACTGACCTAAGTCTCAGGTCCTTCCCTGACAGAGGTGATCCACAGATACCTGAGGCTTGCAGTGCAGGATAGGGTTGAAGCCTCACTTGGCTCCCCCACTGCAGCTGCTCGGGTGGCACCTAGGACGCAACAAGTGACATTCAATAAAAGTCTGATGAAGTCCAGGCTCTCTCCCACATTTAGTCCTCGAGGGAGAGGTTCTTCCTTGATGGGGAGACTTGAGATACTCTCTAACCCCTACACCCAATGGGGTACAAATGGAGTCTCTTTTAAGTTATTTCATAAAACATATGCTCTCCTTTTAAAGTATATGCAGTGTAGCAAGGAATTTCCAAGGTGGCGCAGTCCCCAGTGGCAACTAACAACGCAGGAGATGTAGGAGACATGGGTTTGATCCCTGAGTCGGGAAGATCCCCTGGAGTAGGAAATGGCAACCCACTCCAGTATTCTTACCTTGAAAATTCCCTGGACAGAGGAGCCTAGCGGGCTACTGTCCATGGGGTCACATAAAGAGTCAGACATGACAGAGCATGAGCAAATATATACACACACACACACAAATTCAAATATTTGTCATTATATACTCTCATTATAAAAATACCATCCCTTTCATGATAGAAAGCCATCCCTCGGTGCCTCTGAGGACTGGTTCCAGGAGCCTCCTTGGATACCAAAATCTGCAGGTGTTCAAGTTCCTTACAAACAAGGGTGTGGTACAATGAGCACTGGCAAGACAGGTCTGACTGTACGCACATGGAGACTCCCCCTTGCCCTCCTCCCTACAGGCTGCCCTGTTAAGAGTTCAGTGCGTGTTCTGACTTGTTTATAGACATGGGTGCTCATGCAGAAATACATATTTTGCTCCGTTTTTAACAGAAATGGGACCTTACTATGAAGACTGTTATGAAACTCGCTTTTTACTCTCGAGAATACTGAGCTATCTCCAGGGCAGTGCATTCCTGTGTCTCATTGTTTAACTGTTGCAGACACTCCATAATACAGAGGAGTCAAAGTTTAACCTTTCCTTGTTGACGGATATTTCTCCTAGTTTTCATCCTGCTTAATTTTCTAAAACCAGGTGTATTGAGGGATATTTTGTATGCAGTAAAATCCATCCTTTTAAATGTGCAGATTATGTTTTAACAAACCATCATGTAACCACCACCATGATCATAATTTCCACGACTGCAAAAGTTCCCTTATGTCTCTTTGTAGTAAACCTCATGTACCCTCAGCCCCAGGCAAATACTGGCCCATTTTTATCCCCATAGTTTTCCTGTTTCCAGAATGTCATACAGTTGGAAGTATATAGTACATCACCCCCCACCCCCCAACCAAGTCCTGCTTCTTTCACTTGGCACAAGGGATCAGATTCACCCACATGGCTGCATCACTCAGTCCTTCACCTACCTTGCTGAGTGAGCTGTATACATTCACTGTCTACGCTAGTTTATCTAGTCACCAGGTGGTGGACATTCGGGTGGTTTCCAGTTTTTGGCAGTTAGGATCAAATCTGTTTAAACATTTGTGTACAGGTGTTTTGTATGCACATATTATTTTCATTTTTCCTGGGCAAAAACTTAGGAGTGAGACTGCCAGGTTATACGATGGTATGATTAACTTGACCAAAAAATGCTATACTGTTTTTCAGCAGACCTATATAATTCTGTATTCCCATGAGGGATTCTCATGTGAGAGTCCCAGGTGCTGTGCAGGTCAGTACTTGGTGCTGTCAGTGCTCCAGAATTTTAGCCATCTTGGTAGGTGTGTAACATTATTTTCTGGTGGTTTTAATTTGCATTTCTCTAATGACCAACAATGTTGAGCAGCTTTCCAAGGGCTTCTTTGTAGCTTCTTGGTGAGGTGTATGTGTAAAGTTACTGCTCACTTTTAAACTGGGTTGTTATTATTTGAGAGACCCTTATACAGTCTAGATATAAGCATTTTATCTGTATTTTGTAAAGGTATACTCCTCTACAGGATGCTTTTAATTCTGGCTGCTCCTGGCCCTTGCTGCTGTGCGGGCTCTCTGGCTGCAAGCAGGGGGACGGGGACTCGTCACTGTGACGCGTGGGCCTCAGTGGCTGCGGCACTTGGGCTCCGTAGTTGTTCTGCCTGGGCTTAGTTGCCCCAAGGCATGTGGGATATTCCCTGACCAGGGACCGGCCCCGTGTCCCCTGCACTGGCAAGTGGATCCTTAACCGCGGGACCATCAAGGAAGTCTGTCTATAGATGTTTAGTCTCCCTTTCAACATCACTGATGAGAACCCGTTGCTTATTTCTGAAGTGCTATTAGCAGTTTCACGCTACACTGGTCTCTCTTTGGAGACCCACATGTGACAATGTTAAGAGAATGCACGGCTGAATGAATGCTCCTTACTGTCTCGGCTGCGTCCTGGGGGTGAGGAGAAGGTCATCAGTGGTCTAGAGCGGGAACTGCGCAGTAGGCTGACTTAAGGAAGGGATTCATTTGAGAACTCTTTTGGAAGCCTAGCATCCCATCGTATGTGACTTTTGCAAAGCTCACCTTTCCTATTTCCACCGAATTAACAGAGATTCCTTAATAGTGTTGACAGACAGCTCAGACACAGCTGTATTCATCCTGTTTCCATTCTCGAGTCCCAGTGTTCACTGTTCATGGGCGAGCATGATAGGCTGTGCTTGCCTCTAGACAGCTCAGGTGTTTTGACTTCACTATTTTTAATTGAAATACATCTGATATAGAAACACTGTCAAGGAATACAACATGATTTGATAATTTATATATTGTGATATAATTGCCAATGAAGTATAGTTAGCTCTTCTATAATGCAATTACTTCTTCTGTTGTGGTATAAGTAAGATCTAGTCTCTGAGCAAGTCTGATGATTATTGTTAATAATACAGCAGTGTTATCTGTACTCATTTTGCTCTTCGGGACTTATTTACTACTAGTTCCAAGTTTGTGTCCTTCAGCAACAACTCTCCTATCCCATCCTTAACCTCTGGAAAACACCACTTTTCTGTTTTTATGAGTTTAGCCTTTTTACCTTCCACATGTATGTGACAGCATACACCATTTGTCTTTCTCTGACTTATTTAGCACAATGCTCTCAAGGTCTACCCACGTTGAAAATGGCAGGATTTCCTTCTTTTCATGGCTGAATAATATCCCATTGCATAACATACGTATACTACATCTTCTCTATCCATTCACCCACTGATGGGCACTTAAACTGTTTCCATCTCTTGGCTGTTGGGAATAATGTTGCAACAAACATGGGAGTGTGCATACTTCTTTGAAGTCCTGTTTTCATTTCCTTTGGGTATATACACACCCAGAAGTGGGATTTCTAGATCATATGGTAGTTCTATTTTTAACTTTTTGAGGAACCTCAGTATTGTTTCCCATAAGGGCTGAACCAATGTATATTTCTACCAACAGTGCACAAGAGGTCCCCTTTCTCCACATTCTCACCAACACTTCTTATCTCTTGCCTTTCTTCAGGACAGCCATTCTAACAGGTGTGAGGTGATAGCTCACTGTGGTTTTGATTTTCATTTCCCTGAAGAGTAGTGATGCTGAGTATTTTTTCATGTACTTGTTGGCCATTTGCATGTCTTCTTCCAGCCACTCCAGATTTTTCACCTGCAAATAGTAAGCCAGGCCAAACACCCACTAGTGGTGGCTAGTCATCACTAAGTGAGGAAAAGGATAAATGGAGAAAGCTCTAATTCAGTCTCAGCTCTTAGGGAGGCCCTCCAGGCCAATTAGGAGTAATGGGCCTCCAAAAAGGAGTCATTTGACCCTATTTATTTCTTATTCCCTGTCTGTCTTTATTGATTAGCATTTGCAGTGGCGACAGACAAATGATTGGGACCTCAAACCTCTAACACACAATTCACTGAACGTTGGTTTGAACTGAAGCAACTTAGCGCACACACACACACACACACACACACACACGACACATGCGGTTGTCAGGATTACGTGAGTTGAAAGAAAGTCAAAGCGTTGGTCGCTCAGTTGTGTCCCACTCTTTGCAACCCCATGGACTGTGGCCCACCAGGCTCCCTGTCCATGGGATTCTCCAGGCAAGAACACTGGAGTGGGCTGCCCCGCCCTCCTCCAGGGGATCCTCCCAACCCAGGGATGGAACTGAGTCTCCTGAATTGCATGTTGTAGGGCTGCTGTGAGGGTTACATGAGTCATAGGAGTCAAACGCCTAGCAGAGTGTCTGGCACACAGTAAGAGTTCAATGAACAGTTTAAAGTGGAAGCTACAGCATTGAAAAAGTCCTTTTTTAATTTAGATGATTTCCAACAAAATCCAATAGAAGCTGTTAACTTTCTTATGATAAACATCAAAGCCTTATACTGTCGGTCTGTCGGGAGTTACGTCATGCTACTGTATCATCAATGGTGGTACCTGCTGAAAGGAACGCAAGCAGGAAGAAGAAAGCACGGGAGTACGTGAAGAAAAGGAACGTTACGAAGTGATCTCTGATGCCACCTCTTACACACTATGAGGAAGATATTAGGCTTAGGAGCATGCTTGGACTGTCAAAGCAATGAAAACCGAACCAAACAGATTCTCAGCTTGTCACCTCTTGGACCATCACACAAATGCCAGGGAAAACGGTCAATACACTGAGACGAAAGGCAAGCTTTCAGCACGTGAAGTCTGGACGAAGGCAGCTACCTTTCAGCTGGTGCCACAGCTAGTGTCCTCCCATCACATTCCACTGTGATCCTGGATGCCCACGGAGCTCAAGCAGTCCACTCTAATGCTGCACACCCTACGTGGGTACTTGAAGTGTAACAGGGATCAAAAGTTAGCAAGAGGAGCCTGACTTTAAAGGAGATAACGTAACCGTGTCCTGTGGGTCAGGAAGGGCTGCATGTCTGGATTCAGGCAGGGGACGCCAAAGACCACTGGTTGCCACCTGGATTGCCTTTTTCCTGATCTGGAGGTAAGACAAGGGGGAGTGGGGGAGACTCATGGGCTTCTGGGAAGGCATACTCTAGCATTCACTTTATCCCAAAATGGCAGAATTCTCCCAAAGATGGACTGGGGCTCATGATAATATGTTGGGCAGGAAATGGTTCTAATAAAAAATGGACATTATCTACTTCTCAGCACTAATTCTTTAAACGAGATAGTATTTTAGAGCATTTAATACATCGTTAGGCACTGTTTCCTCTTATTTTCATTAATATGTACCAATGGTGATGAAAACGGCTTCAAAGAAAATGTGATCATCAGGAACAACTGTACCTCTGCTGAAATCCAGGAGAGCTGCTTCTGATACCATACCATAGAGCTAAACTTGTTTACTTTTTAAAGATATATCACTTTGGATGCTACTGGTAACATGTGATTTCAAATCTTTCCAATGCCAAGCAACCACAATCTTACTGCATTTTGTCAGTTAAAATATCCCCAAAGTGTGTGCACTGGTTGAGTTTAACAATCTCATTGATTACATATAGCCTTCCTGTTGTCTTACGATGGGACATCTTATCAGGTGTATATCTCCCTCATCAGCTTTCCTCTCTCACCATCTCACAGTGGTTATAAGGGTTTAGGATTTTTGGCTGCCAAAACCATGTTTATCAGAGAAAGAGAGTCCTGAAATAAAAGAAAAAGGGAACCCAGGTGGAAGAGAGAGTCTCCTTCTTGACCAACAGTTGTATTTTTGTACTAAATAAGAAAGCGATTTCAAAAAAATTAATCAGGAATGGCACCAGTCTACCACCTATTCTACTGAATAGATAATAAGTATTTAAGAGATAAGATACTGTCAGTGTGATAAGGAGCAAGGTAACTAAAACAAGCTTAACAACCAAGTTGGCAGAAAATAACCAAAGCACAGCTTTAGATGAGACAAAGTTGCCCTGGCAACTCTACCAGCAGCAAGTTCTGGCAGGTGCTGTCACTACAAAAACAAAAGGCAGGGGCAGAGGAGACACAGGTCTGCTTCAGAGCAGTGTCATACATCCAAAAAGGCAAACTCTGAACAAAGCAAATCACAGGTGCCCAGAATTCTCAGCTATATACAGATATAGCACACCATTATTCATCTGCTTGCCTACACTGAGGAATTGAGAGGTAATGGAGGGATGTCCCCGGTGGTCCGGTGGTTACAACTCCAATGCAGGGAGTGTGGGTTCAAGGGTTCAATCCCTGCCTGGGGACCTAAGATCCCACATGCCTTGCAGTCAAAAACCAAAACATAAAACAGAAGCTATAACAAATTCAATAAAGACTTAAAAAAATGGCCCACATCAAAAACAAACAACGCCTTAGAAAAAAAAAAGGGAAGGTAATGGAGATACAATGTTTGGTTACTACAGCACAATAAGGCAGGATAAGACAGCTGGAGGTGGGAGAGGGGATGGGACCACTTTCCTTTGTTTTATTTCCCTGGGAATCCTAGGACAAAAAATTTAATGCACTGGTACTCAGTTTCAGCATTCTGCTGCTAAAAAATCAAATAATACAAGAAAATATTTATCTCAGTGGACAGATTATTTCCATGATTTGTTTTAATTACATAACATTAAAAAATTTTGGCATTTGCTGCTTCTTGGTTTTAAGCATACAGAAACAGCTGACAAAATTAACAAGTATAAATAAATTCTTAATTGTGTTTAGTTTGCTATAGCTTCTTTTGTTTTGGTGATCTTATTCATGGTTTTGGATTGTCTAATATATAACATTTTGTGTTATGTAATACCATGGACAGGTATTGTTTTTATTTAAAACTAATTAAAAAGAAAGACAAGAGAAACACTTTCATTCCCCAGGAGCTGACGTCAACCTGTTTGTCTGTACACATCAACCTTACCCCTACACCCTCCTTTAGGCGTTAAGCAGCCTCTGCCACACACTAGTCAATATAGGCTCACTGGGTGTGCAGTAAACATCTCTGAGAAGCTTATGATGGGGGATGTATATCCCGAATTGGAAAAGCATTTAATTTCTAATTATTTTAAAAGAAGAAAAGAGGAAAGAAAGAACAACTGACCATGTCTTTTTCCACTTCTCATGTCACTGTCACTAGGGTAAAGTAAGCTAATGATGAAATCTGCTATCTTGAAAAAGAAAAAAAACAAAACAAACAGCTACCTGAGTACACACCCAAATGCTACCCTTTCATGAATACGTGCAAATATGAAACACAACCACCTGTTTAAAAAAAAAAAAAGACAGCCTTGCTCTTTGACAATTTCAGAATAAGGAACTTTTCTTTAGTTCCTTTTGAGAATTTCTGTAGTTGCCTACTTTTTTCTCCTGCTGTGCCTATCACTTTGGATCTACATCACTTCAACTCTTCACGCAAAGATGGGGAGTCCTCATTTAGAAAACATTTCCTAATTTTACATTTTAAAGTTAATATTTAAAAAGAAAAACCTTTCAACTCCCCACCCCATCATGAATAATCTGGTTTAATACAAGTATATAAATAAAGATCTTCTTTTTCCTCAATAATCATTTAAGCAACTTTACAAGAATTATTGTTTAAAAAATTTACCTAGAGAAATGAAAATACCAGTCATTTCCCCCCTATAATAGATGGTGCTCAAGGATTCACGTATCAAGGCTGTCTGCTCAGCTCATCATCCTTTAGTTCTGTTAGGCGGGCTTCGAATCTTCTTAATCACTTTTTTCTTCTACTTGATAATGTCTGTATTCTGGCTTCAGTTCCCATGTGTTTTTGTGGATCCCTTTTACATTTTGAACACCAATTTCCTTTAAGATGTCCTTCAGGTACGACTGAAAAACAGAACCAAAATAACCTTGACAGAGGAGATAAAGAAGGCAGGAAACAAAAATATAAAATAAATGATACACTAAACTACATCTACAAGTAACAAGAATTGTGATTCTGAAAGCCCCATTAGATTTCTCTATAATGAATATCAATAAACTGCCTTTTCGATTATCTGCACACAATAGATGATAACTGCACTAAATATGATTATTTGCATTAAAGGGCTTGGAAGTCCTGCATGCTAGCAGCCTTGAGAGCTAAAAAAAAAAAAAAAGAAGGAAAGGGAGTCTAGAAGGAAACACACTAGAAAATTTGCTGGTACTTAATTTACACAGTATACCAAGTATAATGAGACCCTGAGTTCCGTGGTATCACTGAGTTCACAGTCAGACAGGGTTATTCTTGGATAGCAAAGAGTCATTTTAGAAGCAGGAGCATATGTTATTTTTCTATGAAGCAAGCACACGACAGGTACCCAGAATTCTCAGTTCTAAGGTGAGTTCTCAAATTAGCTATTGGGTTACTTGCTTTTCTTGTGTAATAAGGTAAGTCATTATGTATGTTTAATATTGTTTGTATCACACGGCCAAGGTTGCCTAGACAGAGGAAGGGAGCATAAGTTATGTTAAAAACCCTGAGTGCTACAGTTTTCTTGGGTTTGGGTCCACCAAAGAATAGAGGTGAGAAATGATGGACGTCAGAACTCTGTATTATGCCATTTCAGGCACCTGAAAATTCACGTATTACCCAAATGATCACTAGAGGCATGAAAATGATGGCTATGAAAAATGTAGTATCAAACCCCACCTTTGCTTGCCAATGCCCAAGGTGAAAAAGCATCTCACTATAAACCAATATAAATTACAGTACTTCCTTCTTGGGGAAGAGAGAAAAGTTAAATATTTAAAATGAATTCCTCCCCCCCTACACAACCAACGAGCCAAACAAGAATTTTTGTGTGTATGCTTCATAGAACCAGTTACAGGTACATTACAGTGATGGAAGATGTAATAGGATGTAAATTTTTTAATTTATGGAAATAAGGCACTAGTTTAAAAAATGGCTGATAACGGCTTGATAATGTTGAAGGCGGTGCCTTTCTCAAGTGTGATGCTAGACTACCTGCATCAGAACTTCATGGGGGCCTGTGAACTAAACCCTACTGTAGGTCGAGTGAATTAAATCTCCGGCGCCAGGCATGGGAAACTGCATTTCACAAGCCTGACTGAACCAAAGTCCACAGCAACTGCTCAGAAGACTCTTCTGGCTCTAAAGCTCTGGGCTCTTTCGGTCCTTGCAGTGTTGTTTAGTTTTCTGAGCCTCACTGTTGCTGGAGAGTGTGTGCTAACCGACATCATCGAACACCACCTTACACTGACTGGTGTGGTGTTCTACAGTTTCAACTTTTATTTCGGGGTCCCTGGTGAGCACTGGAGCTATATACAGGTCTCTCAAACAGCCTGGATGGCTCAGCTCTTGCTTGAGCGGCTTCCCCACCCCAGCAGGTGGCAGCAATGAATCGACGGATGCCTGGGCTTCCCCAGGAGGAGGCCTGCCTGCTGCCTCCCACTCCTTCTGGAGCTGGCTCCAACGAGGGACCCGTGTAAATGAGTCAGCGAGTTACTCAAGTAGGCTTCAGACAACCAGGTAATATGCACGCCTGCCATCTGCTACTTCAGATTGCATAGAAAACATGGGACACTGTTCATAAACGACTTTCTAGTTAAACAGGAATCATAAATGGAAAATGACAGGATGGGCTTTGGTTTTCAGCTTGGGTGCCATGAATGATTTCTTTGTAAAATTCCAAAGAACGGTTTATTGTGAGAATGGCTAGACCCTGGGTGCAAACAATCATACAACTGGGGACACAGTGCAAGAGCTCAAAAATGAAGAGAGCAGGTGCCAGGAGCACTGAGGTTGCCAGACAGACACTGTCTTCTCAGGCCTATTATGCCCATGTTATAACCTGGATACAGAAGATGAAAAGCCTAGAAAGGGTTTAACACAAAATACTGTGTCTTAAGTGCACAAATTCAGTCGCCTTCACTCTCATTTTATTACATTAGCATAATAAAGTTAAGGAGTATTTTTTTTTATGTATAAAGATGTCACTCTTTTTTTTTTTTTTCTTTTTTATCAATAAGAATGCCAAGACCTTTGGCATTTTATCAATAAGAATGCCAAGTCAGGGGTCCACTGATTTGTCAGTTGACAAGATGGGATCAGGGTCATGGTACAGAACTCTTTTCTGGGGTGGGAGAAGGGGCAGACTTCGGAAGTTTGACAGTGTTCTAAACCCCAAACCTAACAGCACTCTACTAGAACCAGCTGAATTACCTTGGCACACAGCGTTAGCAGAGAAAGAAGTAGTAACAACAGAGAAAAGCAAGGTCAGAGAATCCTAGAAGGAAGGACACAGGGAAAGGACAGTGAGACTACGTAACTTCTCTGACTTCCCCTCTGGCCTCCAGGTTAAATTCCAAACTCTCGCGCAGCCATCCACCCAGGGCTGTCTTTTCACAGTGGCCAGGCACTGGCCACTTCTGCATCCGCACGCTCTTGTGCCCGCCCTTTGCCTTCCCTGTAAGGCTTATCCCCTTCCTTCAGGTCAGAACTCCTCATCCTTTTAGACGTGGTGTAAATGTCACTTTCTCAGGGGAACCTTCCAGCGGTCCCCGCCCTCAGATCCACACGTCACGCGGTGAGGACTTCCAGGGAGGGCCCTCACTGCATCAGCGCTGTATGTGCAGGTCTGGCTCTCCCACCAAAGCCCGCGCGGCCGCCGCAGGGCCTGGCTGCTGTCAGAGGCACGGGGCGCACCAACACTGAATGAACCGGGGATGCTTCAGAGTTAGAGAGGGGCCAGGAGGGTTTCGCTCCTGTGTGGGGGGTGGTGGTGGTTAGGGGGAAGATCACTTAGAAGGCCCAAGGGAATAAACTCTGCTAACTCTAGCTGTTTTCCTTCCTCATCTCACTACCATATAGAGCAATGACCCTGTTTGAGAATAAAAACTGATAAAACTGTATTACCTGAATCTGAATTTACTACTAACATCTGTACTGTGGTGCTAAAATATTATTGAGACAAAGCCAATTGGGGTGGAAATTTTTAAAGGTTTTAGCAGGACTGAAGATTAATTTGTAATCGGACTTCCCTTGTAAAAAACTGTGTATCTTCACACTGGGATTTATCTGAGCACCAGGCTGAGTGGTACACAGCCTGTTTTCACCCTCACAGAGTTCCCAGTTTAAGCTCAGGGTGTACATGGGGAAGCGCGGGCATGGGAGCAGGCAATCGCACAGTTAAAGAGAGAGAAAGGAACAAGGGCACACATGGAGGACATCACGGGAGCACCGGAGAGGGGCCGGAGCCAAGCGGCTAGGTCCTCTGAGGATGGACACTTGATCATTTGAACTAAATGGCTATTCTGCGTGGAGACCAAGGGGGACTAGTTCTCTTCTTACAGTTAAATAATTCTAAACACTGATTATGCAATTTAATCTTTTGCCTAACCACTTGTATTTTAAACAGAGGATTCCAGAACTGAGAAGATCACCTTTATGTCACATAGGATTGGAAAGATTTCTCGTTACCTACTATGGACAGTTTGGCGGAACAAGAACTGAAATAATAAACTGGCTCAAGTCCAGCAAGTCTTCATCAGAGAATGTGTGGGGGCGTATCTACAGCAAGTCTGCATGCAGAGAAAAAAGGGAGAGAACGGTACAGCCTCCTCGCAAGGGAGGCAAGGCACACACTGGAGCTGAGAAGTCTACTGAGCAGGATGTGCTATGCATTTGTGGATCAAGACAAAACTGTGGTGGCCAAAAGGCTGGAAATTCACACATCAAATTCCTGACTTCTCCCCCAAGATCAGGACAAACCTAGTCACAAGGCACAAACCTAGTCACAGTAGCCTGTTTTAGCTTCTCTTCTTCACTCTCCTTATCTCCTTCCACCCCTGCCACTTTTCATATCATCTTTTCCTCTACTGCAAATGGAGGATTTATCTGTGTTTCATTTCATCGTAAATTAGTGTTAAACATTACCGCAGATAATAATGAATTAACTATACCTTATTCCTAAAAATTGATTTAAAAAAACACCAACATATATCTTTGACAGAGAGCTGATCACCAAACAATAATGCTTTTAGGTAAGCTAAAGATACAACCTTACTAGACTTTTCATCACAAAACAGTCCCCAAAGGCTGGAGTGAATGTGTATTACATAAATCTACACCAAAAGATGGCACTGGTTAACACAGTCACCAAAGGGAAACTGCTTGTATGCTTTTTATAAAGTGACCCAGTGGCAAGGGCATCCACGATCAGTTCTGTTATCATTTCAAAGTATCACTTCATATTTATGTGATTTTTGAATGACTGACTGTGACTCCTGCAAGCAAGGTTGACAGAACAGAGGACTTACTGACGAAGACGTTAGTGGCTCCAAGGCACAAAGTTCTTGCATTAAAAAAAAAAAATTAAACAAACTACACATTATGCGTAAGCTGTGAACAAAGGCAACCTATGTTTTCTCTCCTTTAGAAAGAACCCTGAACGGGGGAGGGAAGACAGTGTTGAGGGTTTCTCTGGAACCTGGGCCATCTCAGCAATTTTCTCCCCTGTTCCTGCTGGTTTCGTCTCTGTTTTCACACTAGTCTCTGTCCTGTTTTCCTCTCAGGGTCCCACAGGCTGCATTCTTCCCTCTGTAAAACTCTAAGGAACACAGAGATGATGGGTAATGAAATGGCCAAGCCACAAACCCTACCCACCCCATGGCCCTCCCTCCCTAATCCAAACTCTAAAAAAAAGAAATTTATTACTGCATTAGCATCTATATGCTGGTAAATCATCTTACTTTCAGTCACACTTCATCTGTCCAGCCGTGGCAAGTGACTCACATGCTCACATATTTCAGATAAAGTTTACTTCCTTTGGGCCAAAACTGTGAATTTTAACTATGTCTTTAATGCTTTCTAAGTTGTATGCTAA